TGGAGTGGAGTGGAGTGGAGTGGAGTGGAGTGGAGTGGAGTGGAGTGGAGTGGAGTGGAGTGGAGTGGAGTGGAGTGGAGTGGAGTGGAGTGGAGTGGAGTGAGTGAGTGAGTGAGTGCTGGCACCTGCTCGAAGCAGTGCCGTGCCTAAGGCGCCATCCCTCCCGGCATCGCAGGGGCTCCGTTACTGTCATTGCCCCTCCGCCTGGAGTTCAGACTGGCAGAGCGCTGCGGGGGCACCCGGCCAAGGGGCAGGGCAGCATCATCTCGGGTGACGCCACACGGGCAGTCCAGTATTGTTGCGGCACCCAGCAGCCAGCGTGGTCGATGGGGTTCCAGGTCCATGAGGCCTGCAGGTCAGGTGTGCGAGTGGACCAAAGCAGGTCAGGTGTGCGAGCGGACCATGCCTTGCGCGTGCATCTATGAGAAGAGCAGGCAAGCCTCACACGTTTTAATCCGCACTCCAGACCGCCGAAAGTGCCTTACTGACTTCGCAGAGCCACCACTGTATGTGGTAGAGCCCCAGGTCAGGCACCCCGTGGATGACAGGGATGCGGGCGCCCAGGATGCTGCGCGGCCGTACTCGGCGGCAGCACCCGAGAATCCGCCGACCCCAAGCCAAGCAGATCGGCTGCTCCAAGGCCGTATCCTCCGCAAGGCCCAGAGCGCGGCGTAGGCCACGGGTCGCCCCAGTGGTGCCCCACATGCAGAATCGGTCCTGTCAGCCGGGCGGCGAGTGGCGATGCTGGCCCGACGCATGTCATATGCCAGGACTCGGCAAAGCCAGGGACTTGGCTGATGATGCCGAGAAGCGGCTTCCAGTTTGCGCCTACGGCTGCGGACAGCCTCTCCAGGGCGCCCCGGATGCTGCGGCGGTCCTGCCGAGCCCTCGCCGTCCGCAGCTGGTTTCTGGCCGCCACGTGGTGGTCGGTGTTCTTCAGGGGGTCTCCATCCCTGTCCGAAAAAAGAAGCACGCGGTCCAGTAGGCGATTTCTGTCCCAGCGACGCCACCAGCCCAAATAACGGTAAGCGGCGTCCGAAATCCGGCGCCGAAGCGCCAGGTTGAGTAGGACTTCAGTAGCTGGGCAATCTGCTAAATGGACTTTCGGGCTACACTTCGTTGTAAAAATTTCATGACTCATTTATTGCAACAAGGCTTTTGGTTGGGATTGTAGGTAGGAATGAATGAGGGTCTGTGTGGGGGTTAACTGTTACAATTTTTGGGGTTGAGGTTTTGAGTGCCTTTGTAGGCTCACGCATCGCAGCGATTTGGGCGGAAGACTTTGTAGCGGTTGGCTTTGATGTTGGCTTTGGTGTTGTGTTTTGGTGTTGGCTTTGGTTTTTGGCTTTGGTGTTCGCCCCCCGCTTCATTGGGGTAAGATATTACATAAAGTTATGTAAAATCGGGGGTTGGTTGAGGTTGCGGGTTGAGGCTCGGTGTCGGCTGGCTGGTTGGTTTATGGGGTAGATGATTACTAAAGTGTTTGTGTATAGGGTTTCCTTGTTGAGTTCTTTGGGGTAGACTTGGGCTGAGGAATAACGGGGATTCAGGTTTAACGGTTTAACCGGGATCTGGACTTTTGGACTGGGATTTTGGGCTGAGGAATAAGGGGTTTTGAGGAATAAGATGCTTACGGAATTTTGGGTTGAGGAATAACGGGGATTTTGGGAACAGATTATTATCCGGGATTTTGGGCCGAGGAATAACGGGGATTTGTGGGGGTGAGGTGTTTTTACGGGTTTTTGGGTTAAGATTTTGGGAATAGGATTTCGGGAATTGGATTTCGGGAATTTTAGGCTAAGATTTTGGGCTTGATGTTTGGCATATGGGTATAACGGGGATTTGGGAATAATATGGTTTCGGGAATTTTGGGCTTGATATTTGGCTACCGGCTTGGCGGAATGGTGCCATAGATTAGTGGGGCAAGGTGTCTTGTAAGTCCCTCTGCCAGAACGTGCGTCCAAGCATACACTAACCCTCGAATGCCCTCACACCGGAATTCTTCATCAACGCCTTGACCCCAGAGAAGACACGCTGGCTCGTCACAAGCACAGGAGGTCTGAAATGCTGGAGATGCTGGAGTCTGATGGACAATCTATACAAGAACTCAATATCGAAGCCCAAACGTGGATAGAGACCCACCTCGCAAGACACACACTGCGTGACACGTGCCAAAGCTGTCTCCTCGGCACGCCCGCGCAGACTATCAAGCTCGCTGTGCTGCCCGCCGGCCACCGACAGCGCAACCGTCTCCAGGCTCCCATAGGCGTCTTCGACGAGTCTCATCCTTTTGGAGTGAATCATCCGGCGTGCTCTGATGTGTCGTGAAAATCGTAGCAGGTTTCGCCAAGGATCTGATGCACCGCGCATACATTGCTTACTCTCCGTAAGGCAAGCCCCCTCGTGCTGGCTGCAGCTCCCAAGAGCAGATCCTTAGCTCAGTTGGGGCTGCCTGGGTGCAGCTTATGGGGTACAAGCCAAGCTTACGATGCCTTGCCAAGGCTCCTTCTGCACCGAATGGAAAGACTTGATAGTCTTATTGACCTCGAGCGCAACCTGCTGAAAGTCAACAGATGCAGGGATGCGGACGGTCTGCAATCACAGGGCTGCTACAACATCAAAGGTTCCGTCGAACGACCAGCACCGAATCGCGAACCCAAGTCTTTCTGCGTACACGCACACAAACAAACACGCACACACACACACACACCCGGAGACACAGACAGACAGACACACAGACAGACAGACACACAGACAGACAGACACACAGACAGACAGACACAGACAGACAGACACAGACAGACAGACACAGACAGACAGACACAGACAGACAGACACAGACAGACAGACACAG